CTAGATACTTGTATACTAGACCTTTCATCATTCCTAGATACTTGTATATTAGACCTTTCATCATTCCTAGATACTTGTATACTAGACCTTTCATTATTTCTAGATACTTGTATACTAGACCTTTCTACTCATAATTTTTCATGCTAAATTTTGTTGGTAAAATAAGATATCTGAATCATGTATTTCCTTGACAAACTCTCAAGTCTTAATTGTATTCTAGGTGAGAACCCTCGAGCTATGCAACGCGGAGACGTATCTGTAGCAGTACCTGGAGTAAAACCAACCTTTCTCCATCAAAACCTTCTTATTCTTCTTGTTCTCTATCTAACCTAATCATTTAACGCTGATCTTAAAACTTCTATTCTGTAAACTTTGAAACTAAAAATCAAATGTGGATTCTTGGATTGATTTTTGTAAATTAGTGTTGATTACTGTTAAAATCTAACTGTTAACGATGGTAAGGCTGAATGGAACACGAAAGATTAAATCTGCCAAATGGACGAACCCCAAAGATAAACTAAAAGAGTCTCTAAGATGACCTATCATAAAGAATTTATCTATCTTGAGCAATCATGAAAATATACTAAACCTAGATATCTTGAAGGTATATTAAACCCTGAAGGTATATTAAACCTATCTCTAGGTATCCTGAAGGTATATTAAACCTATCTCTAGGTATCCTGAAGGTATATTAAACCCTGAAGGTATATTAAACCTATCTCTAGGTATGCTGAAGGTATATTAAACCTGAAGGTATATTAAACCTATCTCTAGGTATCCTGAAGGTATATTAAACCCTGAAGGTAAATTAAACCTATCTCTAGGTATGCTGAAGGTATATTAAACCCTGAAGGTATATTAAACCTATCTCTAGGTATCCTGAAGATATATTAAACCCGAAAGGTATATTAAACCTATCTCTAGGTATCCTGAAGGTATATTAAACCCTGAAACTATATTAAACCTATCTCTAGGTATCCTGAAGGTATATTAAACCCTGAAAGTATATTAAACCTATCTCTAGGGATCCTGAAGGTATATTAACCCCTGAAGGTATATTAAACCTATCTCTAGGTATCCTAAAGGTATATTAAACAGTCTAGGTATCCTTCAGATGTACTAAACCTATCTCTAGGTATCCTGAAGGTATAATAAACCTATGAGTGAAGGTATCCTGAAGGTATACTAAACTTATCTCTAGGTATCCTAAAGGTATAATAAACCTATGAGTGAAGGTATCCTAAACCTATCTCCAGGTATATCTAGAAGCTATGTATATAAAGCCTGGTGTTAAGAACCCTGAGTCCTAAACCTGTCACCCCCAGGCCAGGTTAAAGATTGAAAAAGTCTAGATTATTGACAATGTTTCACGGCTTAAGGATTAGTCCAGCCCTGGACCTGATATTCTTCTTTTATTATAAAAATATAATATTCAAGAAGTTAGTTACTTTACCAAAGGAATATTCCAAGCAGCAACTTCACAGGAATAATTTTATTAGTGGCAACTTTCCAAATGTGCAATTTCCCAATTAACCGGCTACTTCCCAAGTCTCAGGAACAAGTTTAATAACAAAATAACGATAAAGGATAATTTTAGAAAAAATTCTTGAATTAATGATAATAAAATACCCTTAGTCCTAGCATTTTCAAAACGGGCAGGTCTACCATCTAATCTAATCTAATCTAATCTAATAATTTATTTTTCCGTTGAAAATATAACAGGTTGTGCATAGAAAATTACATATTTATTAGTTTATTAATTATCAACGGAAGGAGAGCAGCCATAGCAGAGCTGTTTTCAGGTTGGTCTCCTGGCAGTTTACCGTGGTATCAATTAGAACTGAATTGATGTGATACGTCGTGGGACTTTCAAAATTACCGGAGATTTCGACAATTTCAGTTTTAGGAATGCAGTCTTTATCACAAAATCAAGTTTTCTTATCCTTATATCTTGGCAATCTGATGGTGAAAAACTTTGATCTTTCATCAAACTTAGATCATTTGATCTTACATAATTAATAGTTTGAGTTATCTAAGGCCCACAAAACTGGGTTGCAAAGATATAGGGATTTAAACATCAAGGTTTTTGGCAAAGACTCAATTCCTTGAAATCTGAAGCAAATTCTTAATATCTCCGGTAGTTTAGAAAGCAAATTCTTAATATCTCCGGTAGTTTAGAAAGCTAGACTTGGATTTAAACCTAACCAAACCCTCTCCCAAACTTATTTACTATTGAGACCTGGACCCCAACCAAACCCTATTTCAAACTTATTTACCTAAGGCCTGGAACTTAAACAAACCAAACCATATTCCAAACTTATATACTTAAGACCTGGATTTAATACAAACCAAACCATATTCCTAACTTATAAAGTTAAGACCTGGATTTAATACAAACCAAACCATATTCAAACCTATATACTTAAGACCTGGATTCAATACAAACCAAACCATATTCCAAACTTATGTAGTTAAGACCTGGATTTAATACAAACCAACCACATCTACAACTAATGATATTAAACCATAAACCTTGATCTATTTTTTCCCTCAACTTTTACACTTGGTATTAAAAATAATTCACATCATAACTTCCCTCAGCTCCCTCTCCCCTTTACTTCAGACCCCCCCCCCTCCCACTACTCTTACCTCTCTTTACTTTAGACCCTCCTCCATCCCATACCCACACTCCGAACTGTAGTTGAAGAAAAATAATTAATTAAGACCAAGATGGGACGGAGTTGGTCTGAAGAGGAAAACTTTAGAGTGACAAATTAGGTTTAAACCTCCAAAGAATATAACGTTAAAGGAACCGTCTTCGAAAAATGAAAATGTGTTTTATTAATTCCTGAATCTATTGGAACTATTATCATTTCTAATTCTATCCAATGTATCTGATAAAAAACCTTTGTTTACGTTTAAATATTTGCGAACAGCGACTTTAACATTTAATTTAAAAATACATTGTTTGATTAACATATAGAAGTTTGAAGATCTGCTCTACAGTTTGACTAAATATAAAATTACTAAAGTTCACACAAAAGGAAAAATAAAAAATCATGATGACAAATTTTTAAATATTTTGCATTCAATGAATGCTTTGTTATTTTCCTAAAAATGCAATTATGCCACTCATAAGTCATAACAAACTAACGTGGAAATATTTTTATTTTTTTATCATGCTTTTTTGCAGTAAAAAGTCTTTTAACGACCTTTATTTGACAAATATTACAGATATGCGCTATTACCCAGTTTAAAGGGACCTAATTTCAAGTGACCCTCCATTTAAAGAGAGAAATCCCAGATTCACAACGGTACCCTTGAAACCTTAACTGATCTTCTGGTACAGAGAATCTAGTGAACTAAATGTTGTGTAAAAACCCGAACGCTAGCGTACTGTGTCAACTCGACAGACATTGTCAATTTTCAACCTGGAAAATCTAGAATATTCGATGTTCAACGCGGTTTACAAAAATTCAAATGTGAAATTAAGTAAAGATGAATATTTCTTAAATATAAAACAGGTTGAAAACGAAGTGTTCAACAATAACAAGCGTTTCTGTAGATGAATAAAAAATTTCTGTCATCCTTGATCATTCAAAGGTTTAAAGGGTGCTGTTGTGAATCCTTGATCAGTCCAAGGTTTAAAGGGTGCTGTTGTGAATCCTTGATCAGTCAAAGGTTTAATGGGTGCTGTTGTAAATCCTTGATCAGTCCAAGGTTTAAAGGGTACTGTTGCGAATCCTTAATCAGTCAAAGGTTTAAAGGGTACTGTTGTGAATCCTTGATCAGTCCAAGGTTTAAAGGGTACTGTTGCGAATCCTTGATCAGTCAAAGGTTTAAAGTAAGGTTTAAAGGGTACTGTTGTGAATCCTTGATCATTCCAAGGTTTAAAGGGTACTGTTGTGAATCGGGGAATGCCCTCTCTGCAAATGGAAGGTCAATTGAAATTATGCTTACAGTCCCTTTAAAAAATTATGAAACGAGAATATTTTCATAACTACTTTTTATTTTACCTTAGGGTCCCATAACCAATTTGGCCTGAAAAACATCTCACTCTTCGCTTTGGATGTTTGACAGGACAAATTGGTTTTAAGAACAATTGTCAAAATATAAAATAATTACCAAGTAGAAGTAAATAATTATAAAAGTAATTAATGTGTGAAGAAAAAACCCCCTTTCCCCCCCTTGTCAGTTTTTATTTATTTCTTTTCTAAAATTTTGAACGAGTATATATGTGTTTATCCTACATATATGATTATAGAAGTTAAAATATTAAAAAAAATAAACTCTATTATATAATCTTCGAAAAGTGTAAAAATTTTTAATTGAAAATATATTATAATTGTTTGTATTTTCTCTTCGAGGAGCGAAAAGCTAAATATCTAATGGTATTAAACAGAAAATAAATATTGTGAAAGAAAACAACATCATTTTTTTAAATGACTTTTTAAATATGCCAAAGAAGGTAAAATTTGATACCTCAAGTTGATTCAAGCTTAAACTAATAATTGAAAGTTAAATTGATAGTTTAATTGACGCACAAAATAAGTTATAACAGAGCTATAACACTTTTCAAATCTGAAACTGAAGAGAAAAGAGCATAAAAAAATAAATTTACTGTTTTTTTGCTAGTTTTGTTTGAAGGAGAGATAAAGTAGAACTTGCAAGGTAATTGGACTGTATGTGTACCTTTAGAGTATCCAAAAACCAAAAGTTTTGAATTTACAATTCAAATTTGGCCCCCGCTTTGAGCTCCTAAGGGGGGAAAAAATGTTGCCCCCCCCCCTAGATATATTTCTGTGTACGCTCTTAAATATACTTCGTATTAGAGACACGATGTTTTTATGTATTCCAGATGCCGAGAAGAGATTTACAAAGTTGAATCGTTAGATTAAATTATTTTCATGCATTGCTTAAATCATTTTCATGCATTGATTATATCATTTTCATGCATTGATTATATCATTTTCATGCATTGATTAAATCATTTTCATGTTTTGATTATATCATTTTCATAAGCATTGTTTGAATCATTTATATACATTGATTAAATCATTTTCATGCATTGATTAAATCGTTTTAATGCATTGATTATATCATTTTCATGCATTGCTTATATCATTTTCATGCATTGCTTAAATCATTTTCATGCATTGATTATATCATTTTCATGCATTGATTAAATCATTTTCATGCATTGATTATATCATTTTCATACATTGATTAAATCATTTTCATGCATTGATTATATCATTTTCATGCATTGATTAAATCATTTTCATGCATTGCTTAAATCATTTTCATGCATTGATTGAATCATTTTCATGCATTGCTTAAATCATTTTCATGTATTGATTAAATCATTTTAATGCATTGTTTAAATCATTTTCATGCATTGTTTAAATCATTTTCATGCATTAAAATATTGCAAAATTGAAAGTTAGTATTTTATGGTTTAAAATTTATCTCGCCGATATCACATGTTTAATATTTAAGATGTAGCTTAAAATTCAGGTTTGGATAACGTCATGTAATCTGAAACTTAACATTTAAGTCATAACTTATCGTTTTTTAGTTTTGGACTCAGGACGAGTTTCTTCTGTTAAATTCAAATACAATCTACAATTTTAAACCAAAAAGGTGTCTTTTTATACTCTTTCAATAAATACACAAATGCCGATAATAAAGTACAAAAGAGAAAAGGTGAAAAAATTATATTTGAGATGGTTAAATTGGGACCAAAAGTTACAGTTTGATGAGATAAAGACCGAACTGTTAAATCCGCGTGCAGAAAAAACACATTATGGTTGACTGTTTAGTGTGTACAGTAATTAGTTCTTGAAGCGAAGGATTGTATTTTGGTTTAAAATAATGCAATTTTGTTTAAAAATAGTAAGAAGATTTGCAGTTTCAGGTTGGAACTGTTAAAGTGCTTTTATAAACTCATTATTAAGACCATTAATTGTCTTCTTCTGAGATTACATGAAGTAATCTAAATATATATTTAAATATTTCATTAGTTTGATAATAAACAAACTGGATATATCATTAATCTTTTTAAAATCTTGATCTTACAGTCATTAGTTATGTCATAAACCTTGATACTATATTCATTAGTTATCTCATAAACCTTGAAACTATATTCATAGTTATCTCATAAACCTTGATCCTATATTCATTAGTTATGTCATAAACCTTGATACTATATTCATTAGTTAACTCATAAACCTTGATCCTATATTCATTAGTCAACTCATAAACCTTGATCCTATATTCATTAGTCAACTCATAAACCTTGATCCTATATAAACCTTGATCCTATATTCATTAGTCAACTCATAAACCTTGATCCTATGTTCATTATTTATCTCATAAACCTTCATCCTTAATTCATTAGTCAACTCATAAACCTTGATCCTATATTTATTAGTTAACTCATAAACCTAGATCCTATATTCATTAGTTAACTCATAAACCTTGATCCTATATTCATTATTTATCTCATAAATCTTGATTCTATATTCATTAGTCAAATCGACCTTGACCTGACATTTAGTAAGAGGGGCATGTCTTATTTACAACGGTACCCTTGAAAACTTAATCTGATAAATAATGTGAAAGATAACATGATTTTTTCTGTTACTGTCGCAAGAAATGTAATCCAGGTAGTTTACGAAGTCCAGGGAGTCCAGAGAATCAAGAAAGTTTAGGGAATTTAGAGATTTAAGTGAGTAAAGGGAGTCCGGGGAGTCTAGGAAGTCCAGGGAGTCCAAAGAATCAAGATAATTTAGGGAGTTTAGTGATTCCAGGGATTCAACGGAATCCAGGGAGAAGAGGGAGTACAGAGTGTCCAGGGAGTCTAGGGAGTACAGGGATTCAAGGGAGTTTAGAGAGTCAAAAGAGTCCAGGTATTCAAGGGAGTCAAGGTAGTCCAGGGAGATAAAGAAACGGGATTGTTCAGGGAATCCTGGGAGTCCAGGGAGTTCAAAGAGTCCAGGGAGTCCAGGGAGTCCAGGGAGTCCAGGGAGTTCAGGGAGTCCAGGGATTCAAGATAGTTCAGAGAATCTAGAGAGTTTATGGATTCAAGGGAGTACAAGAACTCTAAGGAATCAAGGGAATCAAGAGATTCAAGGAAGTTGAGGGAGTCAGCTGGGAGTACAGGAAGTAAAGGAATCGAGGCAAATCAAATGAGTCCAGGGAGTTTAAGATATCAAGGAGTCCAGTGAGTAAAAGGAGTCCAGGAACTCAAGGAAGTCTATGGAGTCTAGGGAGTCCAGGGATTCAAGGAAGTCCAAGGAGTTAAGGGAGTCCAGGGAGTCCAAGGAGTCAGGGGAGTCCAGAGAGTCAAGGGAGTCCAGAGAGTCAAGGAAGTCCAGAGAGTCAAGGGAGTCAAGGGAGTCCAGGGAGTCCACAGGGTTCAGAGAATCTAAGGAATCCTGGGAGTCCAGGAAGTCCACTGATTCATGTGAGTCCAAGGAGTCTAGTAAGTCCAAGGAGTCTAGTGAGTCCAAGGAGTCTAGTGAGTCCAAGGAGTCTAGTGAGTCCAAGGAGTCTAGTGAGTCCAAGGAGTCTAGTGAGTCCAAGGAGTCCAATAGGATTCCATCTAGAAACTAAAAAAGAAATCAAGAATGTTAAATAACTTTCAAACTTTCTGAATAAAGGATGATTTTTCGACGAGAAAAGTTTGAAAAATTTAAAGTTTTCAAAGCAAATTTAAAGAATATTCACTCAATCAAAAAAATCAAATTTAAAAGGTTACATCAGATTAAATTTTAAAAAAGTTAAGATAAAAACTTGATTGAAAGGGTATGTAAATGTTATAGTTTTTTAAGTCTGTGAAAAGTACAAAGTTATCGAATCCCCTTTGATCCCACACACAAATTTCTAGAAATTTTAAGTTCCGCTCAAAAATTTCCCCGTTGGAAGAAATTCTAAAACATATTTTGAGATGTTTCTACTTTTTTAAAAGATTATAAAATCAAATTTAATGATTTTTAAAAAAATAGTTTACCAATATTGCAATCTCTTAAACTGTACTGAATTGATTATTGGGATATTTCTTTTCTGTTTATACAGGGTGTCCCACGAAACATGACAGTTGATGAATAGTTTTGAATGTCTGCTTCCATATACTGTAATAAATATTAAAGACTTTTAAAATCTTTTACTGAAATAATTTTATTATAGGAAGGATCCCATACTATGTTTTTTATTATTCTCTTTGGAATCAAAAAACTTAACAAATTATGGAAGAAGACATTTTAAGCCATTCACCAACTGTCATGTTTCGTGGAACACCCTGTATGCACGATCTATACATTAAATATACAATAAGTATCGATATTTGACAAATTGAGAAATTGACAGGCAGCCTGCAGTAAACATATTGTATAATATTAAAATAATAATATTAGTACCTTACAATCATTAATCTTCTGTATTAGGTATAAATAATCACTGAAAGGCCGAAGGAGCCACAAAATAAAAGCAAGTGTGGTCCATCCAAGTATATACTATTTTTATCCCCCTCCCACCCCCTATCAATTTTGTGCATGACCTCGATTCAATTTCAACCTTTTTCAAAGAAATATATTTATTTAGTATTATTTAGGTTAATACAATTTCTGGGCCGAGCACTGCGGCTAGGACAGGCTAAGGGGGCCGAGTGCTGCGGCTATGAGGGGGTCTGGCGCTGCGGCCACATGTCCAATTATATCCATGTGTTACATATGAGATGCATGTACAAAATTTACAGGATGGGGGGGTCCAAAAATCGTTTTCTAGGATATTACCAACAAGTGTTCTGAGTATTGGATTAATATGAGAAATATTTAGAAAAACGCACAGAAAGGAAATATTCGGGAATTTAAAGAGACAAAGAAAATTTCTAGTGAGCTTGGAAATGGTTTGTGGTTTGTCTGTTTGTTTCTATCCAATCTGATAAGGCCCAATTTTTGTGTGGCAACTTATGTAATACCAGGAAAGATGTATCAATCAAACCCAGAATTGAAAAACTGAAGGTTTTTTGGAAACATGCAAACATGAAAACAGAAAACTTCGCGAGATTTTATATTGTCATTATTTAAAAATAAATAAAAATGCTTGTAGATAGATCAGCAACAAAGCACTCAGATTATTTAGATAGATCAGCACTCAGATTATATCCAGATAAATAAGCTTAAAGTGCAATGAGCAGGAACTTTTGTGTCGGATATTTAAAATCCAGATCATTTGTTATCGATATCCTCTGTGGGAACTTTTAATTTGAGGAAATATTCCTAATTTCTTTATTTCAGTTATCTTTTCAGGGTAAAATTATACTGTGGATATCCTAAAAATATTGAATTGATCTGCAGATTAACAGAAGATCGAAATCAAGCATTGATCTTGATATACACGTACAATAAAAGAACCTAATTATATCATGAATTATCATTATACTTTTTTAATTTTTCCAGAACACTCCCTTTAAAGAATAAAAATGATATTATCCTCCACTCGACGAGAGAGTTATTGCGACAAATGTTGTAAACTAAATATCATAATTATACAACGATGCCAAATATACAAATATTGTAAACTAAATATTATAATTATTCAACGATGTCAAATATACAAATAATGTAAACTAAATATCATAATTATTCAACGATATCAAATATACAAATAATGTAAATAACTCTTTCAAATTAGATTTAGAGAAGAAATTACAAAATATTTAATGTTATTGAACAATTCAAGTTTGGTTTCTTGAATAAATTTACAAATATGTCCCTAAATATGTCAACTCAATTTATCTTCTTGAGGAACTCGATATTCGACTAATTTCATGGATCTTTGGTCCAGCTGGTATATATTAATGGTTTAGTGCTAGATCAGAAACTTATGATTTCTTAGTTTGTACGTTTATATTTCTATTTATTTATTTGCTGAATATATATTGATCAAGTTTCAATAGGTCTAAGAACTTTAATATCAATAGTGAATAAGTTTTTAATCCTTGTTTTAATAAGTCCGGGAACCTTTAAATTTCAAATCTTTATGTTTCTTTATAAATGTTTTATTAGTGTATCCTGTGATCCTCAGTCCAGGAACCAGTTAGTGTAAAACCTCAATGTATATAAGTCCATGAACTGTATAAACCTGTTTGTTCCTAAATCCGTGAACTTCAAAAGTAACATCTCTGTGTTTCTAGGTCCAGGAACTGTATGAACCTGTTTGTTCCTAAATCCATGAACTTCAAAAGTAAAATCTCTGTGTTTCTAGGTCCAGGAACTGTATAAACCTGTTTGTTTTTATAAGTCCATGAACTTCAAACGTAACATCTCTGTGTTTCTAGGCCCAGGAACTGTTGTTTGTTTTATAAGTCCATGAACTTCAAAAGTAACATCTCTGTGTTTCTAGGTCCAGGAACTGTATAAACCTGTTTGTTTTTATAAGTCCATGAACTTCAAAAGTATAATATCTTTGTTACTACGTCCAGGAACTTATAAATAAACGTCAATTTCTTATGTCCCTAAGTGTAAAATCCCAATGTTCCTAACTCTATAAACCTAATATTACAAATGACTATATTGGTTTCTACTCTTCCTTAGGAATTAGTAATGAGCCAAATCCTATAAATCCTAATCTAGATTCTAGATTAAAGATTGTAAATAATTTCTTTACATTTGGTCTTTTGTTTGGTAAACAATGCCCACTGCCCAGCCATTAGGTAATAAGCAGTTTATGTAACTTTATCTTCATTTGAAACTGGCTGAAGGGCCCGTGGAATTTTACAAAAAAATCAAATTTTGAAGAAAAATTTAAATTTTTGAAAAAAAATTCAATTTTTTTTAGCATATATTATTCCCAGGGTATCAATGGGTTACCTCAAAAAAGAATAAGCGAATTCGGTTGACCGACTTGGCCAGTTATGGCTAACATATATATACATACATACATACATACAAATATATACATAAGCGAAGGGCTTTATTTTATGTAGAAGATAAAATAAAATAAAATGCAAAACATCTTGTAAATAAAAGATGAAGTGATTTGAAAAAATGCCCTTTTTCTGCTTGTCTTTGCTGTAGAAATCCTCACAATAAAAGGGTTCACAAGGAGAAAAGGATTTAAGCTGGTCTCATCGAACTTTTGAACCTTTGTTTTAAAATTTCCAAAGTACAGGTTTCGAATTTATTTTAAATTTTCTAAAATTAAAATTGGTCTGTTTCATGTCAGTTTCATTATCGCTTTTAAATGTATGTATTTCTTGTAAGCGTGTGCTTGAACCAAACAATAGATTTTAATATTATGACATTAGAATAATATATATTGTATCTTGTAGAGATATGCTTGTGACAGAATGCCAATTCAGTTCTAATGAATATCCTAGTTCAACTCCTATACTGCATACAGCATTCCACTCTAACCATTTTATATTCAATGGGTGGGTCGTGTTTTTAGTCAGATACTTTTGGTTAAATGGGTAAAATTTTCATGCCAAATGATTGGTACTTTCAATATTTAATTTAAAAAATGATAATAATGATTGAAAACTGTCAAAGAAAAGCTAAAAATTTTAATAATTTTCAAAATGGTAAAATTTCTTTTTCATTTCTTTTCAGTCAAAAATATCTATAATTTTCTCAAATTTAATCAAAATTACAGGAATCGGAGATATTACACAGTGTTGTAGGATACAGAGAAACAGGATACAGATATTACAGGATACAGTTACAGGATACTGAGTTAAAGGATGCATAGTAATAGGATACAGAGATAAAGGATACAGAGATATAGGATACAGAGATATAGGATACAGAGTAACAGAATACAGAGATATAGGATACAGAGATATAGGATACAGAGTTACAGGGTACAAAGATACAGGATACAGAGATACAGGATACAAAGATACAGGATACAGAGATGGAGGATACAGAGTAACCGAATACAGGGATATAGAATACAGAGATATAGGATACATAGTTACAGGATACAGAGATACAGAGATACAGGATACAGAGAAACAGGATACAGAGATAGAGGATACAGAGTTAAAGTATACAGAGTTACAAGATACAAGATATAATGACTTTCTATATACATATATTTTTGATTTTCTTTTTTGACTGACAGTAGAATAATTAGAGATATGCATGTACATAGGAGGGATTATAGATAATGATCTAAAAATAATTAAGTAATTACAAGAGTAAATGTATTCTAATAGTTAATATCAGAGGGTGGAAGACTACCACTGGTAGTTTATGCTTGGTCGGACGACGGGAGAATGACAGACTTAGAGAATTTTGAGTGTCTGGGGTTATAACCCAGGCCGGGTAATAACCCCAAACCCTGGGTTATTACCTCAGAATATATATTTTTATTTTTATTTATTTATTTATTCGTACACAATTATAATGGTACAATTTAAAATCAACGAGAAATGAGATATATATCATGTAACTGATCAAAACAAATCCCCCCAAGAACAGTGTACTAAATGTACACAATAACATACCAATACATGTTTACAATGTCATACCAATACAGGTGCCACCTGTTATTCTATATTATATATATTCTGAGGTTATTACCCATAAATTTAATAGTCCAATATCCTG